ACTGTATGTTCCTAACACCTTATGGTCTTTAGCACGACCCCATAAGCTTTGGTGCATGGGGCCCTCTGCAGGCTAGTGCTAATAGTTTGACATAAAAAATACTAAAAAATTATATAAATCTTAAATGTCAACTAAAGATAATAGGCATTCTAAGACAAAGGGAATAAAGTTTATCGCAGAAAGACTGTTTAATTGATAACAAATACAGCCTTGATGGCTAAAACACTGCTGTGTACTCCTGCAACTATGGCCTCAGCCACAGCACTTACTAGACAAGGCTTCAAACACTCATCCAAATCAGTCTAAACTACATATGAGATTTTTTATTTCCACCCCCATTCTCCTCTATGCCATTACTTTTTCATAGTTAATGTCTATGTGGAACTAACTCACTGCACTGTTTTTCCATTCGTACTCCCGAAAGCCTCCTCCAGAGTCATAAAACCATGAATAAGAGGAATTAGCAAACAGAAAGCCTATGATTTTAGAGTATCTGGGGTAAATGGGAATATAATTAGGCTTGTGCTGGTTTACAATTAGGAAAGGGATTATATCTGCTTTTACTCACTATCTGTGAAGGTAACCTGGAGAAATATGACTAATTTGGAGGAGAATTATCACGTTAGCCCATAGCTCTAGGTCAGCCTCTCTCTCTCCCAGCTGTGGTAACCCTACAGGCCCCTTCTTAAAAAGAAAGCACTGGCTACCACCCCTGCTGATTTATAAATGCTCTCTCCAACCTGGAGGGATTGCACTCACAGCACAGTGCAATTTCCATTTAGAAATGGGCTTCCAGTTGTGTAGACACACCTCATTAGCTAAGCCCTACCTCTAGAGTCAGGGACTTTCTTACAGGTGTTAAGTACTAGAGAGGGAAAAAAACCCGCCCCCAAAACCAAGCAAACAAAAAACAACTAACAAATAAATAAAGAGAAGCTTTGATTTTTGCTCAAATGAATAAGGGAAGGCAGTATTCTTTAGTCCTGGTCCCCTGCACTATGCAGTTCTAAGGTTTGTTATTGTTATTGCTATTGTTTTACTTCATTTCATTTTTCTTCATCCCGGGTAGGAAGTCACATTTTTTGCAGATGATGAGGGTGAGGTTTGATATCGGTTTGCCTGTGTACAATGATAGGGAAAAAAAAAAAAAGCTTATCTATTGTTTTGCTTCCTAAGGCTCCTACTCCTGTGCTTTCCTGTCATTGTCAGATGTGCCATTTGGAAGTATTCGGTTACATTTATTTAAATGTTTCATTTTATCAACCTCTGCTGAGGATATATCTGGCACTTTATTTTACTTATTGGTTTATCCGATAAGTTGTTTCTCAGTTGTCTAAGGAAATAAGTGTGCTGATAACTGCAGCAGGTGTTAAAGCGTTTGGCAGGGGTTGTCACTTGGAAGAGAACCAACCCAGCTTGGGCCACGTCCTGTGGTAGTAAATTTCAGCTCCATTGTAGGTTTCTCCTGCTCATTGCTGATTTACATGTCAGGAAGAACATCTTAGGAGGTTCTACTGGGTTAGATGACTCTGTTGCCCTCAGAAATATTTAATGAATCAGTGCCCATTAGAAGACCAGACTAGAGACAATTGCTCATCTATTTTGTTCTTTTCTTCTCTGTTTTTTTCTTTCTCTCTCTCTCTCTCTCAGCCTTTTCATCATGCAAAAGAGAATTGCACCATAAACCGGCTGTGTGCAATTAATATGTGATACTGTACTTGCCTTTTTCTGGATACCTTTTTATGTTTCATGATTAGCTTTGGCTAACAGCAGAAATGGGAGAGAAGTGTCCAGTGAGGGATGTTACTAAAAAGGCTTTATGTGATGAACCATATTGTCAAACATTAATAGAATCTACACCACTGCAGAATTATGGCAACACTCAGAGAAAGCACCAATGGCCACCACAGATAACATTATACTTTTAACCTCCTTTAAGTTATTTTTTCACAGTTTATTATTCTGCAAAGTATATTCTGGATTATTATTTGGGTAAAGTGGTAGTTTTTAGAGTCCAAAATTTTACCTCAATAAACTCAGTGCCCCTTTCTACCTTTCATGAAATTACTTTTATTTGAGCTTTAGCTTCATTCTGTGTCCTTTCATTTGACCTATTGATAAACCAAAATCTTGCTTCATTCTCAACACTAGTTGTCACTAGTGATGTTTCCAGACCTGTCAAAGATTGACTGTACTTTTGAATTACAACACCCCATCTAAAAGAACCACTAGCTAGCCTTCCACCTGAAACACACATTCCATTCTATTCAAAAAACATTTCCAGGCTGGGCGTGGTGGCTCAATCCTGTAATCCCAGCACTTTGGGAGGCCGAGGCAGGTGGATCATGAGGTCAAGAGATCGAGACCATCCTGGTCAACATGGTGAAACTCCGTCTCTACTAAAAATACAAAAAAGTAGCTGGGCATGGTGGCGCGAGCCTATAATCCCAGCTACTCAGGAGGCTGAGGCAGGAGAATTGCCTGAACCCAGGAGGCGGAGGTTACGGTGAGCTGAGATCGCACCATTGCACTCTAGCCTGGGTAACAAGAGTGAAACTCCGTCTCAAAAAACAAAACAAAACAAAACAAAACAAAAAAACATTTCCTCCAAGCTGGGAATTGTAATACAGTCTTTACTTGCTCACCTAAAACATGAAGATATTACAATATTTTCCAGTCATTCTCAAAGTATACTCTGAAATAAAATGCCCCTGTACAGTGTTTCAAGGGTTGTATAACCATGAAATTCGCCTTCTTGAAAACACCATTTCTAGCCTTGAACTAGACTGATTTGGATCAGAATCTCTAGGGGGAGTGGCCTGGAAAGCTGTGATTTTGACAAAACACTTAAGTTTGGGGACTCCTCTGCATTTATGAACTATCTGGTATAGGGGAAAGAGAAATATCTACAAAGATAGGAAGACAAAGTTTGAGGCTGTGCTTTATCGTTTACTAACTTATGACCTTGAGTAAGTATACTTCTCTGAGCTTCAATTTGCTGATCTGTAGATTAGGCATAATTCAGATTGTGAAGAGCTGAATTGAAGATAATTGACAGCCATCCTGGCATGGCAGCAACCAATCAGAATCAACACTGGCCAGAGAACTGTGCCAGGAATCAACCTTTTGATTGCCGGATTATGGGGCTTGAGAGCAGGTGATGGTAAGAAAGCCTGGAAAACTTGGAAGTCAGGTGGGAGGTCTTTGGGAGACTGGAGCAGTGGCTATTTACTAACTTGTGAGAAAACACTGCAGTATTTTCACAGCTGGAAATGCCATATTCATATGCCCATCAGCTGGCTATCAGCCCTGCATAAATGAAAAGGTGGTTGTACATGTTAACATAAAACTTAAAAACGTAGTTTCTAATTCCTAGTGCGTATTTAACAAATATAAGTTACTATTATGTTTTATGGTTTTATGACTTGTAATACACTTGTTATACCTGGAGTATAGGGCTGAAGAGACAAAGACCAGAACCAAGAATTCATATATACCCCCAGGGCTTCTAAAATAGAATTGTTAGCCAGAGTACTAATCTAGCCATAGGAGAACAAGGATGTGAACACAGAAAGGGAGTCTGAAATTGGGAGATGGGTCAAAGAGGAAAGGACAGACATGTTATAAACTAAGGTTAGAGTGAAACTCACATGTTACCTTAAGCAGAGGTGGGACAGGTAGTTATTATGGGGCATACACAGTGGACAACTGGCAGAAATAAAAAAAGCGGGTATTCAGATATTCAAGAACCCACATGTAGGGATGGGGATCAAATTAGACGTCTTAGTCAGTTCAAACTGCTATAACAAACCCCATGACTAGGTGCTTCAACAATAAACATGTATTTCTCGACGTTCTGGAGGCCGGAAAGTCCAGGTTCATGCCAGCTGATTCGGTTTGTGGTTAAGGCTCTCTTCCTGGTTTTCAAATGGATGCTTTCTCGTGATATCCTCCCTTGGTGGAATGAGAAATCACCTTTCTGGTGTTTTTCTTAAAAGGGCACTAATCCCACCATGGGAGGTCAGCTCTCATGACCTAATTACCTCCAGTCCACATACAGTTACGCTGAAGATTAGTCTTCAACAAACGAATTTTGGTGGCATGCAAACATTCAGCCTCTGCCACTATGTGAGGGCCTAGATCATAAAGGTGGTCAGAAACAAGAATATAGCCTCGGAAAAACTTGGTTGCACTAGTTGCAGTGTTATGATAGAAAATACATTGATTGAGTATGGAGATTAAAATTCTTAAATACAAGCCCTGAAATTATCAGTGCCTAAGGACTGGGCTGATTATACTGTATAGACGAAGGCTAAGCAGACATTTTTCCAGTTGCTACTCTGATCTATAATGGAAGAGCAAGCAATGCTAGGGCATACTGGGAAAGGGTTGGATGAGAAAGGAAGGTGGTGACTTGCAGAGGGGCTGGCCTGGGAAACAGAAGTCAGCAGGCATGGAAATTGCCCGTTGGGGATGTCATTCTTTGTCAACTCACATTCACCAGCAATTCCTGCCTCTAGCTCATTTCTCTCATTCATTGACATCTGCTCCCCAAGTCGTGTAACTGTATGGAAGCATATCTGCCTTACCCCAGGAAAGGATTATATACATTTATTAAATGGAAAAGAGCTAATTGTAGAAAACTGAACTTTTTTTAAAAAATAGAAAATACTACTCAAGGTAATGAGTGACAGAAGTGTAGACTGCAAATCTGTCATTGAACCACTGCTGGAAGGAAAAGAAATCCAGCTGCTGGCACCTCTGTGGTGTCAAATTTGAGAAAACTTCATGTTTTGTAACTCACAGCAGTATTGATTATTTTCTGCTGCCTTCTGTGGGAACCAGAAATAATTGTAGCAAGAAGGCTGGCCACGGGCAAGAAGAAAAAGGGGTTTCCAAGTAGCTCAGGAAACACAAGGGAGGGGAGCAACTATTGACTGGAACCTCCAGGTCCCAGGATCCCTTTTGAAACCTGCCTCTTCCTCCACAGAGCTCTGGCCAGTGTTGATGTGGACTACTGGGGAACAACATTTCTTCATTCCGTTATCAGTAATCCCCAAGGGAAGTCTACCAAACTGTTTCCTGGTTGCTCTCATTTCTAAATTTTGAGCTGGTGACTAGAGTTACTTATAAGGTGGGTACTTTGTACTAAATGACTTAAATAAGTGCATCTTTATTTATATCTTTAAATTAGTTTCCTTAGGCACCTCCTGTTCTATGAATTGTCACAGTTAAGCTGAAGAGGGTGAGTTCAAGCTGGAAAGACAGTTACTGTTTCTTGAGTTTAAATTAAATCCTTGACATTATAAAATATTACAGATACATTACCATTGTCGATTGTGTCCTGTTCATATGATTTTGCTATTGCATTATTCAGAATTAAGTTAAAAATTCTTTTTTATTGTGTTTGAATGTTTCTAGGACGTGGACGATCAATATTTCTAGCCTGTGCACACACTCTACCTAAGGGCTGTGAGTCATATTTGCTTTGAAAGAAATAGCACTTAAGGACTGTCAGTCAAGTCAGTTGTAAGAAACATAGAACTCTTTAAGAATTACTCTGCCTCCTCCTCACATCTAAATATAGCTAACTGGTTGGAGTGTTTAAGACAGATAGTGAAGCTGTATTTTTAAAATGGTGCACTTGCAATTAATCAATGCAAATAAAAAGCTCAAGGTCTTTTTACCTATACATATCAAATATATAACTTTTTTTAAATAAAAAAATTGTATAACATGATAAGTTATGAATATGCATAAGGAAATGACCCGGGTTCTTCAAGTCATTTGTCAGTATGATAGTATTTTACTTTCATGGCTCCCTATAACCTGGTTGGGAAAGCACTGGGGGGCAAGGTGTGTAAAGATGGGATTTCTAGTATCCATTTGGCCACTGCTTATGTACATAAATCTGGAAAAACTACTGCCTTCATCTCTTCCTTCCAAGGGCTGAGTTTCCTTTCAGACTACCAGTTAAGAGTTACATTTTAAGAATTAACAATGTATCTTCAGGTTCATTTCCTGTATCTCTCTCTGAGAAGTTGGAGTTAATATCAATATAGCTTGATATAGAAGAAATCCTCCTCTAACTCTACAGCTCATTTACCCAATTAATGCTCTTGAAAGTAAATAAAAGCAAAATTTTTCCTGTAGTGTTTAATATATTAATGGCGTAACAATTCACTTACCTTAGGCTCATACCTGTGCTAGATGTGTGTATATTTGATCTGCTCCATGTATGTACTGCTGTTTATCTGTCACATAATTTATATTTACAAAGTGATATTTGGATTCTTCTGGCATATTGCTGCCAGGAATGCCAATAAAGGAGCCATAATGTTCCCTAATATCCTTGTTTATATTTGTATCAGTGTCTACAGAGGTTATATCAGCAGACGGAACAATGGACTGTACCATTAAATTAGAACAATTTTGCAGCATCGCCTGGCAGAAGCTCACACTTAATCCAAGAGATTATTCAACCCTATCGAATATGATTACTCTATAAATATTTGCCCAAGCTCAGCACCAGCCATTATATCACTAATCACACACAGGTTTGTTATGGCGAAGACCCCCCAGTGTCAGCAATTTGAAAAACAAAGCTAATTAGTTTTGATTTAGTGATGAGAAGACTTATTACATTGAAAGGGAACAGTTTACATAGTATAGTGGCTATTTAGAGCACATAGGAATACGAAGGAAATTTATTGTTGTTTGCATAGGATTTTGAGACGGAACAATAAGAACTAAGCTAGTAATTCAGAGATATGTGATGGCCAGTGGCAGCAACCAGTGATGGCTGGGGGACTTTGTGGCTGGGGGACTTTGTGGCTGGGGGGTTAAAGGGAGATGGTAGAAACACCCCCTTAAAAGTACTACTCCAAACAAACGTATGTCTAAGTAAACAGTATATTTGCAACCAGCTTTAGGATAAGTTCCTGATTTCTCTTCCCAAACAGAACACTGCCCCTAAACTTCTCTCACTGAGAATTCTGAGGCCAACACTATTATGGGTCCACTGATATTAATTTGGGGGAAAGGTGGCAAAAAAAGCCACCCCTATGTTTCTCAGCCACCAGCCTACTGTAAATCACAGAAAGAATGCACTGATAAAAATCTCATTGGCATAGGTACATTCGGATAAAGAAGCCAGAGAAGACTGGAAAAACTCGACCAAGAAACAGTTCCATTGGGAACTCTGAGTAAGGCAATTTGAAGGAACTGGAAACTCAACAAATAGGAAAGAAGTCAGGATCAAAGGAGGTGATATAATAAAATAATAGTAATAAATACAAGAGAATACTTTCTGTGTGCCAGGCCCTGTTTTAAGCATTATTTATTTATTTATTTAATAATCACAAAAACCCCATGAGATAGGTACAATTATTATCTCTAGTTTACAGAAGGGAAATATATGGTATAGAGAAGTAAAATAACTTATTGAAGGGAATATGTGTGTGTGTGTGTGTGTGTGTGTGTGTGTGTGCATGTGGGTGTGTGGGAGGGGGCGTGAATGGCAGATATGTATATTGCAGAAGTGAAATTCAACCCCAGTCAACCACCTGGCTCCAGAAATAAACAATAAAAGGAAGCAGAGGGAACAAAGAGTCATAGAAAATTGCTATGTCTTAGTATTTGTTTATTGCCTGGAATACAAGCATCCCTACCCCATTCTTAAAACTCTTCCCAAGTTTCCCAATTGATACATGACTAAAGTTTGCTTCCATCCCTGCCTCTCCAGGTACACTCATCCAGTGTCAAACATTTAGTGCATTTCATCTACTTTTAGAGATAGCTATCAGATCCAATTAAAACAATTAGGGTCAAGAAGGTTTAATTCTGTGACTTAATGCGCTCACAGGGTCTGACATATCACCCAAACATGAGCAGAGTTTGCCTGTAATGCAATCAACACCATGGAAGCAGGGCAGAGAAACGGAGAGAGATCCTAATTTCATTTTATGACACTTGATTCAAGCAAGCCCTTACAGAAATTAGATATACTTGTGGACTACCTAATTATATGAGTCAGTAAATCCCTTTTAGTTGAATTTGTGTAGGGTATTCTCATACCTGCAATATAAAAAGTTTTAACAAATATACAGAGAGAAGTCAGGAAAAGATCCCAAAGTCTTTGAGATCAGCTTCAGGATGCAGGTAGTTACCATGCTCTTTCATATTCTGACCATGGCAACTGTTTGTTAGATGGATTTAGGATAGCATTGCAGACATTTTCTTGTTTTTCTATGTGCAGAGGAAAGTCTGGTTGACCGTTTTTGACAGAGGAATTATTGCCTACTTCATGGTTTTGCCTAAGGCCCACCTAAAGACAAGTAAAGAGAAGGATGTGGTTATAATCAACTAAATCAACACCAGAAACCTTGAAGGATTTGTGACCAAAGTTATAGTAATAGACTACAAAATCATTAATCGCAAAGTCCAATGAAAAATAATCTTGAAAGAATCCCCTATATAAACATTTCACTTTTTTTCTCAGTCCAAGTCCATCTCCTTGTGTTTTTGGTGACTCTTTTGCTCACATTGTTCCTTGTATTTCTGATGACTCTTATTTTGCTCATATTGTCCCCGATATGGCCCCCTTTCCCTGACTTTCTATCCAGTGGTACTGGGAAGAGATGTTCTTTAAAAGCATTTTTTGGTTTGTCTTCACCAACGTTGGTCTTTCCTTTTTCTAAGGCACTGAAGTTGATATTGTGACAGAATTGTGGATGATGGGCTGAGGTTGCTCCCCCATAGGATGTGTTCTTCCAGGCCCTTGGTCCCTCACTCACCCAAGAGTGGGGGAGAGGACCCCACTGGGCACAGTGAGCTCACTGAAGTAAATATCAGACCTAGAGAGTTTTGCAGAATTGATTTATTTATGCAGAGAGAGAGAGAGAAAGAAATAGAGAGAGTGAGCGAGCTCCCACGTTGTTGTGGGAGGGGATCCAAAGATGGAGTCTGCACAGATGAGAGAGAAGGAGACTTTTAACCTGGGAGTTATTCCTGCCCCATTTAAGTTTTTTGTCCTATGAAAGGAGTTCATTTAAATTTCTGCTGGAGGGATTGAGCTTTGATTTTTGACATCTGATTTGTTGTTTGGCCCACTGCCCTCCCATAGCTTTTTGAAGGCTTTTCTAAACAAAGGAAGCTCACCTACTCAGTCTATCTTCCCGTGCGCAAAAGTTAAACAAAGATCTCTAAGCTCCCAGACGGAGATGTGAAAAAAGACAGGCCAGGAATGTTGCTAGGAAGTTCTTGCCTTTGAAATCATACCCCTTGTGGACCCGAGAAGAGAAATTAATTACATTCTCTCAGTATTACCTGTTCTATTCATAAGCGTGTAGTTATGTATTGTCTTAGTACCTTGTACACTTGTGTATGTGTGAAGGAGAAAGCAAGAGAGAGGTATTACCCGACCTGATTCTTAGAGAACCAAGATGGAATGAACTCAAGCTCTATTCCCTGTACATTGAGCAACACAGAAAGCAGAAGAATAGGGGGATAGTGTAGATTTGTTACTCAGCCTGAGGGTGGTAAATTCAGAGACAGGCATGTGGAGGCTGGAGTGCTTTCAACTGCAAAATCAGGCCAGATGTGGAATAGTCAGAAAATGTGTAAGTATCTTCAGGTTCAAATAAATCTTCACTATCTGTCAAATGAGAAGCAATGTAGGTGGTAAGAAGATGGCTGCACAACAGGCCAGGTGTTGAGGACAAGCCCTGAGGAGGTCCGGAGCATAGCCATTGAGTGACAGAGGTTCTTGGTAGGGAAGGCCTTTCCTGGGGTCTGGAATGAAGCAGGACCCTAGACTTTAGAGACTGGGTGTAAGCAGAGTGTAGGAGCTCTAGGATTCAAACTGGATGTATGTCACAGTCTGAAATTAGGTCCAAGAAATGTCATGCTCTAAAATAATCACAAAGAAGAATTAGGACAGTGATACAATAGGTAGATCCTTAGACCAAGAACATGTATATTCTAGTTACTAGCTGAGTAATGTAGAACAGGTTACAACAGCCTCTCTATGCTTCAATTTCCTCTCCAATTAAAAGGAGAAGTTGGACTAGATAAATCCCCAGATGTCATGGAGATGCTTCAGGGATTTCCTAACCAAAGAATTACTTATTTTCTCCAGTCATTAAATATTTTAGAACATCTGAAAGACTTGCATATTGCTATCAATTATTTTAAATATTAAAGTTATCTTTAAGATTTCATTTGAATGCAGAACCCTATGGGACAACATAGTTTGAAAACTACTTGATCTAATACTAGCAGGGTGTGTTTCAGTGGTAGGAATATAAGGACTGAGATGATCTATTCTAGCAAATAACCCTAGGTGGTAAGTGTTCTGTAATTTTTGTTGCTATCACTTGAGAGGATCTTGGGAGTAAAGGGCCTTAAGTACTGTTGGTAAAAGACATAATACAGTATTTGTATTATGTGTATTTATTATTGCACTTCATATGTACATAATATATATTATGATAATATATATCATAATGATAATATATATCATAATGAACATTTTGAAAAATAGAATATGGATACACAAATATACATATATACATGTATGTATGTATGTGTGTGTGTGTGTGTGTGTGTGTGTGTGTATAGCTTTTCAACAAACTTAGGGCCATGGTTTGTAGTCAAGAGTGAGTTAGCATGGTCTAGCAGGAGTGTTAAAATTACAAAAGTAATCAAATTACAAGATAACATAAACATGTCATAAAACAGGTAAGTATAATCTACCACAGAAGTTCAGCAGAGAATGAAATCACTTTTAACTGGGTGAGAGTTTCAGAATTAAGAAGCAGTAGGAGGTAGGTTAGGCTATCTAGATTTAGAGAGACTGATATAAGAAAAGAGATACTTTCAGCCAGGACAGAAGACATGTATGGCAATGGAAGTAAGTGCAACATGCGTAAATTAACCACCTCCACACATTTATCCTTTCAATCTATTCTTCTACTTTCTCTGCCTCATCATAAATTTCATATATAGTTAAGATAGTGGTAATTTTTCTACTGGCCCCATAATATACCTATTTTGTCCTTCCTAAGACCTAGTTCACAGGGATTGTGAAGGAGTGAGGCTTCATGGTGTTCACAGGAAAGCTCTCATCACTGTTAACATGGTGCACCCTGTTTACAGATCTCATTTGAACCAAGGAGCATTTTTAAAAAATCAGGATAGGAGCTTTAAACGCTATCTCTGTATTTCCAATCCTCTTTGAATAAGAAAACAGAAGAAAAGGATTTTTCTCTTACAAAAAGATGGCAGACATGGAGGGCATCATTTTTCACAGCCAGTCAGCATTTAAAGATGATACTGAAAAGAAAAGTCTATATAAGTCATATATAGACTTCTATAAACAGACTGCCCTCTGAGCAAATCTCCAATTAAAGATTGAGACTTCCCAATAGTTTCTGTACTAGGATGCAGCATAGGTTTTGCTGGCATAAAAAGAGAACACACAGAAGAAAAAAACCACTTGGATTCAAGTTATTGCCAGTTATTGAGTAACTGAATCAAATGATTGCCAGTTTCTTCCCAAGGAGGAACTGGAACAGTGATAAAAACCTGCTCTATGCTTATTGTGCATTAGTTGTTTCGCCAAGATGTGGCTATGCTGGAGGGATCCCTCTCTTCTCAACCCATCCATTGAAGCCCAGCTCCATACTCTCATGATTCGCCTAGGCAAATAGACTAGACTTGCCTAGGCCAATAAAACGAAAATCAATTTCCTGACTTTACAGAGAGCAGAATACTCCACTGAAGACAGTATGGGGAAAGGGGAGGAGGATTACATTAGACATTATGTCTAAAAACTCAATAAAAATCTCTGTTAGGAAAGAGAGACTGGGAGAGGTGAGTAGGGAGGACAAAGGGAAGTGAGTTAAAGGGTACAAACACGCGATTGAATGTTTGATAACAGAACAGGGTGACTATAGTTAAAAAATACATGGTGCTTGGGATATGGACATGGTAAATACCCTGCCTTGATCACTGTGCATTATATACTTTAACACAATTTTACATATACCCCATAAAGTTGTGCAAAAAAAAACACCCCTTCCTTCCTTTAGTTATGTCTATTCTTCTGAAGTCACATCAGGTCTGCCCCAGCTACCTCATCTCTGTCTCAACCCTTTCTCCAACTGCTCCTGAAGCCTCACTGACTCTGCCTCAGTAGGTTTCTATTCCAGCAACCGTCTCTTCTTTTTATCTACGTCTGTCTTATCTAGACCTGGCTAAACTCTCTCATTTTCAGTAGCCAACCTCTTCTGAAGGTGCCAGACATTGCAAATTACTAATTTTCGTAGGTAGAAATTTTAAATTTTCCATATGTATACTAAGGGTTAATGTTTATTTTCAAGATGCCTGCATAGTGATTCTCAAAAAATCTTCCACACTCTCTTCAAAGAAGGAAGCTTGAGTGACATAACGCCTTCCGACACTGTTAACACTGAGTGCGGGTGAATCTTACCTAGCTCTTACAGTCAAGATCTTGACACCCCAGACATTGACCAAACCAGGTAAAAGACGACCCATTCCATTTCCCAAACACTTTAATTTTATTGCAACATGGCACATTCCAGAGATAAAATTGGAAAGGTAGACTAGGCAGAAATTAAAGTGCTTAAATTCCAGACAAGGGAAGCCCCTAAGGGTTTCTAGTGGAGGGGTGGCTTATTCTGAGCTGTGCTTCAAAAAGTCCTGGGGAGGCTCTCTGGAAGTGGAAGGTGAAGAAAGAGAGGATAAAACTGGAGAATCCAGTTAGGAAAACTATAATAATATTTCTATGGTCAATCAGAAGGTGTCCTCTGATAAAAACCTGAGATAATTATCCAAATTCTACTACAGCCTGGAAAAAGCATTGCTTTCATTCTGGACAATTTGCTGTTTCACATATGAGTTTCCACCTAAGAAGAGAGCACCTTATAAAGCGGACTCGGTAGCTGTAGAGCAGAAAGACAAAACTTCTCTTTTTTACTGATTAAATTGGAATTCTGATTTATAATTCAGCAGTAATAAATATATGAGTATGAATTCATTCCGAAGCCTTGCATAGGCCAGTAAAAAGGAAATAATTAACCTTTTTTTATAGTTAAAGACAGAGACATCTGTGAAGGCTCAGCATTTTAGCCCACCCACCTTCTAATCAGTTATACTTCCCACCCTCCATTTATTTCTTTTCTTTTCTATTCTTTCTTTTTTTTTTTTTTTTTTTTTTTTTGAGACAGAGTTTCGCTCTTGTTACCCAGGCTGGAGTGCAATGGCTCTGTCTCGGCTCACCACAAACTCCGCCTCCTGGGTTCAGGCAATTCTGCCTCAGCCTCCCGAGTAGCTGGGACTACAGGCGTGCACCATCATGCCCAGCTAATTTTTGTATTTTTAGTGGAGACGGGGTTTCACCATGTTAACCAGGATGCTCTCGATCTCTTGACCTCTTGATCCACCCACATCAGCCTCCCGAAGTGCTGGGATTATAAGCATGAGCCACCGTGTCCGGCCCTCCATTTATTTCTTAATTGCCATGTAACATTTTAAGGTCGTTTAGTCTCTGTTCTTCAGTTTACTTATCTATGAAAGGAAGATAATACTTACTCTAAAGTGTTATTTTGGGAATTGAATTATCAGTAGAAGAGAGGACACTAGAAAATAATTGAAGTGTTATAAAAATGTGAAGGGATAAAAGGTCAACTTTGCAAACAGAAGTTGTTTGTCCTTGTGTATCTAAGGAGGTCATACATGGCGGTGTTGAAAAGACAGAAGACATTTAACTTATATAAAATGTATGTCCCTGATAATGTGGGGCTTTGTAAAATGTTGGGAAACAGTAGTATTAGATGTATAATGTTTCTTGGATAAAAATTATAATTGCCTATAAATTGGTAACTCCGTAAAAGTTTTCTTGAGTGGTTGGAAAAATGTCCAACTGAGGTGAATCAAATCAGAAGCTCTCAGTTTGGGGTAAGTTGACCTCTGCTCATCAAAAAAACAATTGTCTTTGCCACTTAATAATCTCAGTGTGCCTTTCCAGCACTTATGCCACACTTCAGCCTTGCCTGAAAATGTGTACTGTTGCTACCACGGATGTATCTGTTCTAGAAAGTTAACAGGCTTTCGTTTCTGGGACTGTCAAATCAGAAGTTTTCCCGAGAACACAAAGATTCACTCTATTACTGCACATCATAGAACTCATGCCTGTAGCTGGAAAATAGAAGTCTTTGGTGTAGGCATTTGCTTGTTTGACAGTTCTGTTCTAAATTTTGAAACTAGTGGTACTGCAAAGTGCCTGTCTGACAATGGTGTACCAGAGCTTAGTAATGCAAAATAATTATTGTTCGTGGTTCCTTAGCTGAAGTCAATAGCTCCCTGCGAAACACAACATAATGCAGAGATCTAAAGTTACTAAATCAAAACAGAGAAAAAGAGGAATTTTAAACAGACTTAAAAGAAAACACTAGATTCTATAAGATTTACCAAGTGATGTCTTGCAGCACATGGAAGGCTATGATCATTCTAAAAGAAACTCCATGATAGTGATGATAACTTTTATTAATCAATTCAGATAATTGTTGTCAGGAAGCTTACGTGATGTCAAAAGAATGAAAGCAATTATGGAGATATTAGCGAATAGTGTATAATGTTTGTTTTCTTAACTTGAAACCATATTTTTCAGGTTTGCTTCTGCGAATTTAGTGTTTAAAGCCAGCAATACATCACCTGTACTAAAGGGATTAAGTTAACTTAAATGTGGAGCTGCAGTTTTGGAACTAGAGTGGCAGGATGCCCTCCCTGAACCTTTGGTACGTGAATCAGTGTAATGTTGTATCTTGGAAAAGTCAATATGAATCCAGCAGATAAATAATTTAGTCTCCATGTTGCCTGAAACATTTGCCAGGGAATTCTGGGAAGATTGCTGCTTGACTACTTGAATGAAAGGATAATCTCCCTCTTAATCCTTGGTACACAATTGCGTTTAAGACTATCCCCATGCTGGGAAAAACAAGGAAACAAACAATAAAATTGCTTGTTCCCCTAGAAAAGACAAAAACACAGAAATAAAGTAGAATTTCACAGACTCATTTATAACATATTTACCTACATTTACCTTCAACACTTTCAATCTAATATTAAGATGGAACTATTTGTGATAGTTACATAATTATCTTATTATTCTTTTATTGTCAACTTCAATGAAATTTATAATTTTTTGATTTTTAAAAATGTTCCTTTTTTTACTGATACATAATAAAATACATGTTTTGGGGGTACATGTGATTATTTTATACATTCATTAATTTATAAAGATGAAATCAGTTTGGATGCCCTTTCTTTCTCTTGCCTAATTGCTATGGTCAGAACTCCTGGTACTATGTTGAATAAAAGTGGTGATAGTGGGCATCTTTGTCTTGTTCCAGATCTTAAAGGAAAGAGTTTCAATTCTTCCTGCTCAGTGTGATATTATCTGTGGATTTATCATACATGGGCTTTATTATTTTGAAGTATGTTTCTTATTTACCAAGTTTGTTGAGGGATTTGTTTTGTTTTGCTTTTTAGAGATGGGGGTCTCACCATATTTCCCAGGCTGGTGCTTCGAACCCCATGCTCAAGGATTCCTCATGCGCCAGCCTCCTGAGTAGTAGCGACTATAGGCATATGCCACTACACAACTGGCTAAGGTTTTTTTCTTAGCATAAAGGAACGTTGAATTTTATTGAATGCTTTTCCAGCATCTATTAAAATGATCACATTTTTTATTCTTGGTGCTATTAATGTAATACATCATGTTTATTGACTTGTGTATGTTGAACCATTCTTACATCCCTGGGATAAATCCCACTTGATTATGATAAATTATCTTTTTAATGCATTGTTTAATTTAGTTTGCAAGTATTTTGTTGAGCATTTTTGCCTCTACATTCATCAGTGATATTGGCCTGTAGTTTTCTTTTCTTGTATCTTTGTCTGCTTTTGCTATCAGGGGAATCCTGGCCTCATGAAATTAGTTTTAAAGTATTCCCCCTTATTATTTATTTTTGAAGAGTTTGAGTAGAATTGGTTCTTCTCTAAATGTTCAGGTAGAATTCAGTCATGAAGCCATTAGGTCCTGGGTTTCCCTTTGAAGGGAGACTTTTTATTATAGTATCATTCTTGTTACTCGGTTTGGGTTTGTTGAAGTTTTCTGTTTCTTCATGGCTCAATGGTGATAGGCTGTATGTGTCCAGGAATTCATCTAATTTCTTCTAGGTCTTCCAATTTGTTGGCAGGTATTGTTCATAATAGCCTCTAGTGATTCTTTATATTTCTGTAGTCTCAGTTGTTGTGACTCCTTTTCCTTTCTTTATCTCCTTACTTTTCTTTTAAGACACAGGACCTCACCTTGTCACCCAGGCTGGAGTGCAGTGGCACAATCATAGCTCACTGTAGCCACAAACTCCTGGGTTCCTGTGATCTTTCACTTCACATAGAATCACCACACCTGGCTACATTTTTATTAATTTTTTTTTTTTTTTTTTTTTTTTTTTTAGAGATGAGGTCTCCCTAATTGCCCACGCTGGTCTTGAACTCTTAGTCTCAGGTAATCCTCCCACTTCAGTCTTTCCAGTGTTGGGATTACAGGCATGAGCTACTTGTTTCTTATTTCATTTATTTGGGTCTTCTCTCTTTTTTCTTAGTATAGCTAAAGGTTTGTTGATTTTATCTTCGAAAACCAACTTTTTGTTTTATTGATCTTCTGTGGTTTTTTTCAGTCTCAATTTCATGAATTTCTGCTCCGATCTTTATGACCTTCTTTCCTTCTGTACTGACGTTTGGTTTGTTCTTTCTTTTCTAGTTCCTTGAGGTGCATCATTAAGTTATTTAAAGTCTTTCTACTTTTTTGATATTCATGTTTATTGCTATAAACTTTTTTCTTCATCCTGCTTTTGCTGTGTCATATAGATTTTGTTATGTTGTATTTCCATTTTCTTTGTTTTAAGAAATTCTTGATTCCTTCTGAATTTCTTCATTGACCCATTGGTCATCCAGGAACACATTGTTTAAGTTTCATGTGTTTGTGTATTTTCTGAGGTTCCTATTATTATTGATGTCTAATTTTATTCCACTGTGATCAGAAAAGATACTAGGAATAATTTCTACTTATTTGAATTTGCTGAGACTTGTCCAAAAATTGGTCTACTCTAGAGAACTCACATGCTGATGAAAAGACTGTGTACTCTGCAGCAGGTGGGTGAAATGTTCTGTAAATGTCAGTTAGGCCTATTTAGTCTAGAGTATAGTTTAACTTGATGCTTCTTTGTCGATATTCTGTCTGGATGATCTATCCATTAATGACAGTCAGGTGCTGAAGTCCCTACTATTATTGTATTGCAGTCTATCTCTCCATTTATATCTATTAATGTTTGCTTTATACTTAGGAGTACCAGTGTTGGGTGCATAGATATTTATAATTGTTTTCTCTTGCTGAATTGACCCCTTCATCATTATACAGTGGCCTCTTTGTCTCTTTTTATGGTTTTTAAATTGTAGTTTATTTTATCTGATGTAAGTATAGTTACTCTTCTTCTTTTTTTGGTTTCCGGTTACATGGAATATTTTTTTCCCACTCTTTCGCTTTCAGCCTGTGTGTATCTTTATAGGTGAAGTGGGAAACTCATGCGTTTTTAACAATGAATTTGTTATTGAGATATAATTTGTATATAGTGAAATGTACAAGCTGTAAATGTATAGGCCGAGTTCTAACAAATGTATACTCCCATGTAACCAATACCCTGAAAGTTCTTTTATGCTTCGCCAAGGTCTGAATGTTTGTGTCCCTCTAAAATTCATGTGGAAACTTAATCCCCATTGTGATGGTCTTAGGAAATGGGATGTTTTGGGGAGTAATTAAGTCATGAAGGTGGAGCTCTCATGAATGGGATTAATATCTTTATAAAAGAGGTTGAAGGGAGCTGCCTTGCCCCTTCTGTTATGTCAGGAAGCAGCAAGAAGGAGCAATCTTACAAGCAATGAGCAGCCCTGGCACACACCACATCTGCTGGTGCCTTGATCTTGGACTTCCCAGCCTGCTGAACTGGGAGAAATAAATTGCTGTTATTTATAACTTAACCAGTCTAGGTATTTTTTTACAGCAACCTGAGCAAACTAAGCCATGCTCCTTTCCAGCTAATCACTGCCCCCATTCCATTAGAAACAACCTCTATTATCATTTTGATGATTATACATTAGTTTTGTTTATTTTTTAATTTCATGTGAATGAAATGATACTCTTTTGCATCTGGTTTCTTTTGCTCGGTGTAATACTGAGCTTTAGTTAGATATTTTTGTGTGTATTGGTAGTTTATTACTCTTTTATGTGATGTAGTTAGCATTTCCTTGTATGAATATACTGCCACTTGTCTTTGCATTCTTCTGTGGATGGACATTATGAATTTTCCAGTTTTTGGTAAGTATGAATAAAATGATAAAAATCATTCTTTAACAATCATTTTGGTGGCCATATGCTTTCATTTCTCTTGTGTGAATGCTGTATTTAGAAGCAGAATTGTTGGAATATAAAACAGTTCTCTGTTTATTTCATAAGAGACTATGAAACAGTTTTACTATTTGCTTCCATTTTATACTCTCACTGGCAGTGTATGAGAGTTCCATTTGTTCCACAGCTTGCCAATATTTGATTGTCTTTAATTCTTACCTTTGCTATTTTTGGGAAGAAGCCAATCATTGTGGTTTTGATTTGCCTGTCTGTGAAGACTAACAACATTAAATACCCTTTCATGTGCTTCTTAGTCATTCCGATATCTTCTTTTGTGTTTGTTCATATATTTTGAATATTTTCTATTTTTCATTTCCTACTTTTGCCTCCCTATTGTCATAGGTGTTCTTTTGCATACAAGGTCTTTATCAGATAGATATAAGTATCGGGAAGATTTTCTCTCAGTCTGTGACTTGCCTACCTAATGATGTCTTTTGATGAAGTTCAATGTAGCAATTTTTTGTTTTATAGATGATTTTTTGGTGTCCTGTCTAAAATATCTTTACCTACCCCAAGGTCATGAAGATAGCCCATGTTTTTTTTCCAGAGGCTTTATAGTATTAGCCTTGAGGTATATGATTCAGCTTGAATTAATTTCTGTGTATGGTGTCAGTTAAGGGTCAAAGTTCATTTTTTTCCCATGTGGCTATTCAGTGGTTCCAGCCCCTTTTGTTGAAAGCTTTCCTTTCTTCATTGAATTGTCTTGGCACCTTTGTTGAAAATCAATTGACCAATTAAGTGTAGTTCTATTTCTGGATTCTATTCTATTCTTTTGACCTACTTGTCTATCCTTATACCCTTACCATACTCTCTTGATTAGCTTCAAGAATTTTTATCATTTTTTTAGTTCTGTTCCTTTCATCGTGGCTACTTTTGCCTCCTGCTGTTATTAGATTAAGAGTTTATTTCAGAAGTTAGCACAGCTTTCAAGCTGCTGTGTATCTCAGAGTGTCTATCTAAAAAAATAGGAAAAATAAGTACTCCCTTACAGGTTTATTAGGAGAAATAAACAATCTAGTATACATGTTTAAAGTGTATTGTAATTCTAAAATAACACTTCAGTGTTTAGAATGTTGCTTATTTTTATTGCTCTCTTGACCTTAAAATATATTATTATGTGTGTTCACTGAAATCTCCCAGTAGGGTCTGCATTCTAAGTTTCAGATTGTGGCAGGGTACCTGTTCTATGGATTTAGGGAAAAATAAAAGTCCAATATAATTGAGAGGAGTGATAGGCACCTGTTTTCTTCCTAGTTACAGTAAGCCTTA